GGGTTACATCCTCCCCCACTTAGACTGTGACGTCCCAGTCACTTGCTACAGCATGAACAACCCATGCAAGTTTCTGTTGTAAAGATGAAAAGAAACAAAGGAACATTTTCTTCTGTGTGCAGGGATCTACACTGTGATGTGTATAAAATGCTCTGCCACCGACTTGGAAGTGACTAAGGTAAGATGGTGGTAACCTTCCTCTCTGTGGTCTACCCTGTGGTGGAGTAGGATAAACTTCTGCATCACGTTCTGATAAATCTTCCTGCTCTAAAATAAATTCAGGGGTTTCAGGATCAGGAGGTTTATCAACTTGAGATACAGACTGCAGGTATCATAAACTGGGACTCGGGATTTGTATTGCCCTCGACAAAAGACAAATCATCAGAATCACTCACTTCATCAAGTGTCTCCAACACCTGAGTCTGACTGACCTGCACATCGCTAACCTCCTCATCCTCCCTCACTGCTACAGGAAAAACCCACATGGAAGGAGCATGTCATGATGCAGAACCCTCTCTTTGCCTTCTCCATCTTCCGACTTCACTAAATAGACAAGTATACTCTCATCAGGCTGTTTGACAATGACATGAACAGCATATTCCCATTTATCCAAGTTTTTTTTTAACTTCTTCCTGAGACTCATATTTCTCACAAGAACTCTGTCTCCAACTTCCAAGGGCAGAGCAGTCACGTTAGCATGAATGTAACAGCTTATTGAGGTTGTTGGGAACAGTCATGGTTATAAAGCCTTACAGCTGCTGGGAGAAAGGATCTGTGATAATGCCCCCTGGTGCATTATGTTTGAATAGTTTTTGGTATGTATATTTTGAATTTAGAGCCCCTGGACAGGCTGATGTTATAGTAAAATACATAAAACATCTAACCGGATCTAACAGGACAAGTACAGATACACTGTAAAAACGACAACTCAAAATTGTTCACCTTACTAAGATTTTTGCATTCACTGACAATAAAATTGCCAGTTGGAACTTGAACTGTCTTTTGTGAGCCAGTTGAACTCACTTTCATAAGTTTCTGATGAAAAGTTCATCTTATTCAATAAATTAAGTTGAGTTTACTTAGAAGTTGTAGTTGACACCCAGTCCGAGCGAGGTCAACTTATCTGCGCATGCTCATTTCAAATTTGTCATGGCAACCGGCTGCTACAGGGTTTCCATGGATTTTCCCAGGAGCTCCCTTCTAAAGTTTGGTTCAGCCATCTGGTCATTCTGCTGGCGGTAACTTTCCCTGAGGACTCGTCCAAGAGAAGACTAAGGCACTAGTTTCCTGTCATCTCTGGCAATATTGCATTATTTGTAAGGTTTTAACAGGAGTTGAAAAGTAAAAAAATATATGCTGAAACCTGATTTGCTTTAAGCATAAGATTACTTGTTTACATTATGAAATTGTAAACCTGTTTTTGCCAAAGTGGTTCAAATAAACATGCAAAATTTAACGGGATTGCTGTCAGGGCTGCTCGGTGGCGCAGTGGGTAGCACTGCTGCCTTGCAGCAAGAAGGTTCTGGGTTTGATTCCTGGCCTGGGGTTAGGGTTTTCTGCATAGAGTTTGCATGTTCTCCCTGAGCATGTGTGGGTTCTATCTGGGTACTCCGGCCTTGTCCAAAAACATGACTGTTAGGTTGATTGGCTTCTCTAAATTGTTGAGTGTGTGCATGAATGGTTGTTAGTCCTGTGTGTCTGGTGACCTGTCCATGGTGTACCCTGCCCCACTTGGGACAAGTGTGTAAGAAAATGGATGGATGGTTTACAGTCAGTGGATGATTTAATGGTGGGGGACTAAACTCAAAAATGTAAGTTATTACAGGGGATGGTAATCTGAATTTAAAATAACGTTTTACAGAAAATCTGAACTTAAAATAATAAGTTTTTACAGACTTGAAAGTTCCAGTAACTTGAATTAAAAAAACTTAGTTGGCAGAACTTGAAAAACTTAGCTGACACAACTTAATAAGTGTAGTTCTACAAAACTTAAAAAATTAAGTTGATGCCTTCAACTCAAAAATTCTGTGCAGCCGGTTGCCTTGAAATTTTGAGTTGAACTAACTTTCGTTTTTACAGTGTACAAATCCATTATCCGAGGCCATGAGAATATAATTGGTGATAATATCAATATTATCAATATGCTTAGTCCTATGTATGTCTATGACTGTTAACACATCACTGCTTCATTTCATGTGTAGGATAAAAAAAAAAAAAATGCAATGTTGCTTTGTGGGTTGTTGAAGGTAACTTTTTTGCACATCAGCAGAGATAGCATCTGAGAGTCTCATAACAGAATTATCTGAGAAGATTCGGGCCAGCAAAAGAAAGGTGGTCCTCTAAATTAGCTGACTAAGAAACAGCCTTAAACCCGACACTGTGAAAAAGTCATTTTATTTAATAAAAATATACCCAAATACTTTAGTTGTTTGATCAGCAATGCCACAATGTCAGACAGGAGAAACAGAATAAATGCTGGTGAATGGATGAACTTCTGTGGGCAGCAAACTATAAAGGATCTCAAACAGGAGTCGCAGAAAAAGAAAATGTAGAAAGTTTTTTAGGGAATAAGTCACTGATAGAATGCATGCAACACATCTTTGCAAAAATCAGTCCATGAAACTAAAACAATTTCCACAGACAGACAACTTATTAGGATTACTTTGGTATACACTAATAATATACAATAATAACTTAAAAGTAGTGGAACAGATCTATAACAAAATATTTCTTTTAAAAATGTTGCACATATTGCTGCTTTCTGATTATTTGAAATGTAAGGGCTGTCATAATGTCTGTGCTGCAGCAGATGTCACTGGTGAGCAATGAATGAAGCAGATTGTGGAGGAAGTGATTTAAGGTGTTTGGATGCCTCATCTACCCTTCTCTGGTGGGTGTGGCCATTCCTGTCTGCCCTTGTTGTGATCCAGGGTGCCTTTGGATATCTGCGGCTCACGTTGCCTTTTTATCAGTCCTATGCCTTGTAGGGCCAGTCTGGGGCCTCCCACACCTGTTATCGAGCATATTTTTCTTCTGAAGAAGCTTAAGAAATCCTTTATCCACAAGCATGCCCATGCATACATACCACAGGAGTTTATTTTGGGGGGTTACGGATACACACTTATACTAAATACTAAGCTGCAGCTACAGATATATCACCCTGAACCATCAATTAACTCAGTGTCAGCTCTTGAATCAGTGAGTAATGGGACCTGGTATGAGACAGACAAAACAACAAGATTGGGAGTGAGGGAGAAGAAATGTGAGTAGGTCAAATAATGACTATGACTTAGCAAATATCTCCCCTGACACCCAATGACTATGACCTTTTCTCCACAGTAGAAACAAAGATTAATCAATTTCCTACATTAACATTCTTTAGAAAAATCCTCGTTCTACCCAACTGCATGGGCTCAGGTTTTGAGGGGACAAGTGGGGGAGAGTAAACTGAGCAGGCCTCCTGAACAGAACCAACATGCTGAAACAAGAGCCTCTTGATTCCAATCATGGTCTGCTGCGAACAAATTAAATAAAAAATGCACATTGTGACCAACCAGGCACCTTGTTTGAGGGACAGTAACCCTCTGGCAACATAGGTTCAAAAACATAAACCAGCTCCTTAGCAAATGCAGAATAACTATAAAGAAAAGATTAGTTTCAATGAGAGATAACAATGTTAGGAGCAGAGCTGAATGTAAAGAAAGTAGTTACTTTTCCAGAATCATGACAACAGCAAAGTTAGATGGCAGCCTCACTTCGGTCAGCCTCCCCCAGGGCACCTCTGGCTACAGTGCAACTTATCAGCATCAAAGTGTGGATGTGTCTGAATAGGTGAAAGTATAGTGTCAAGATTCAGCCAAAAGTGGACACATGTAATAAATACTTATACAAACAGATATACTTTATACAGTCACTCATAAACTACTCCTCACCCACATGTTTAAAGTCTTATGCTGTGTTAATTCCTAAAGCAGCAGAGGCAACAGGAGCAGCTAGTTTACATGCAAGTCAATCCGCCATTTTCATCCCGCAGCACATTTTGAGCAGCAGGAGCAGCACATCTGAGCAGCTGAAGCACCGACGGTATGTGGGGGTCTGAGTGGCTCTCACAGTGAAATAATATTTGAAGGCAGGATGGTAATCTGGATGAACTGACTGCACAGATTAAGTTTTCAGGTGGACTTTCTCACTTCAAAATAGATTCAAACTACTTTTTACCCACTGATCATAGCAGATATAGCTGACATTGTAACAGCCAAAGAATAAATTGGGTTGCAGCACTCAACGGACATCAGACCCACTTATCAACCGCGCAGCTAGAGCCGCAAATATGCATCAGCCACGCTTTTTTTGTGAACATTTATTATTTTTCTATTAACTTTATGGCCCCAATGTTCCTTTCAAAACAGCATTGCAGCACAGTAAAATACCATGCACCATTGTGAAATACTATTGCAGAAGGAAGTTTAATTTGTTGATAAGAAACAAAATACACTAATTTGATCTCTCTTAGGTTTCATTCAGTCTCATGCAAACTTTATTTTGTTCTTGCACAGTTTTGCTCAGTTTGACTTCTATTACATTGGGTCTCAAAAACCCTTTCATTTGGACTTACACAGGTTTATACAGTCCCACTTGCATTTCATTTGTCACATGCCTCTCATTCAGTCATACGCACTCTCACATGGTGTTGCATAGAGTTTTATTTGGTCACACAAATCATTTCTTCTGATTGATCTTTCAGTTTTCATCTGCTTTTGGCTGCTTTGGCACTTTACACCTGAGTTATGAAGGTCATTTTAAATTATAAATATTTGTGCATTGTAACTGTCAATTATTATTTTCAGTGGCGTCCCACAGCCATCCCACAGCACTCAATATTCAAACATTGTATATATCAAGTCGATTATGATTTTTAATGATTTTATTGGAGTTAGATCTAGACATATTGCTATTATTTTCACTGAGAGTTGTGTACAGTCTTTTTTTGTTATTTACAGGTGCATTCCTCATCCCTTACTTCCTCTTCCTTGTTACCTGCGGTGTCCCTCTGTTTGTCCTGGAAACATCGCTGGGCCAGTACACCAGTCAGGGAGGAATCATGTGCTGGAGAAAGATTTGCCCCTTGTTTGAAGGTGAGCGCGCTGCCTTAACGATGAAAGAGGGAGGGCAGTTTAGACTCAAAATGTAAAATTAACAAAAATTTCTAAATGAAATAATTCATTTGCAGGCATGGGATATGCCAGCCAGATGATAATTTTCTATGGAAACATCAGCTATGTTGCAATTTTGGCCTGGGCATTCCTCTATTTCTTCTCCTCATTCTCTGGAAACTTGCCATGGGCCAGCTGTAACAACACATGGAATACAGGTAAATAATCATAATAAAGCAACACCCCTGTGTGCAAATTGAAGAGACTCTCTTTCTTCATGAATTACATGCTGTTTTTTGCTGCATTGATGAGGCTGTTTAACAAGGAATCAGAATCTGCTTAAACCATGTAACGTTGCAATTTCAGATGGTTGTGTGGAAATTAACACCTATAACACCACTGCCAACTGGACCTCACCTGTGAATGCATCATCCTCTGTTAAAGAGTTTTGGCAGTAAGTCTTTGTAATGTCATCCTAGAGATGGCAAGTGGGCCACAGAAATTGGGTTTTATGAACTTGCAGATTTTTAATGTAGTGTATACAGTGTAACCTAAATTTAGTGAAAATTTGACAGGCTTTACGGATTTTAGTAAAGTATATTTTGCTTGACAAAATCTTACCAAAGCTTAATATTTGTAGTTAAATGAATCTTTTTCAGAAAGCTCCTTGGGAGATTTCATCACACTCAAAATTTGGTAAACCAAAATCATAAAAAATGTTACTTTACAATAACCTTCAAAATGACTTATTACCAAACAGTGCTGCAGAGTGCAAACATTTGGTTTATTCCCCTTCACAGGTCGATGACTTTGTAAATGGAGTTGCTAGTTCTCTGCATACTACCTTGTACCCCCTTTGAAAAAAAACCCTTCTAAAAATGCTGACTCCCTGGCTTTAGGAGGGGCTGCACACTTTAAAGTAAAACACTAGGATATTAAAGAGAAAATGAGCTCTACTTGCTTATGGGAATCCTACCTAGTGTCGTGGGAAAAAAGTATTCAACTATTCATCCATGTTAAATAAACAGAGATCGATGGATTTCACTCAGTCGGCACATTTATTCAGATCTTTGCAAAGAGAGAACAGTCATCATACAGCCCTCATGGCATAGCATTCTGCTCTGTTCTGATCTGGGCAGGGTTCGTCCCCCCCTACTTACAACAATGGAAAGCAGTCAGAGTCATAACAAATTACACACACTTTGGTTAACAGTAACATGTTATGAATAAACCTTGAGAAAGAATCTGGATTGTTATGGGAAGAAGCAATGTCTGGTCTACAAACAACATTCTGCAGGGAATGGTGTGGCCTTGAGAGAGAAACAGACTGAGTGAAAAATTTTATAGTGAGTAAATATGAATATTAATATATATTAGAAGAAAGAAAGTTTTCCCACAACAGTCCACCCTTTCGATTATAAAAGGATATTATCCTTGTGTAATCGATATCATAAAAAAAGGAAATGTATGAATATAAAAAACTAAGAAACTAAAATTGTGAGTGTATGTAAAGAAAGCTAAAAACTACAAAACTAAAATAAAAAAATTAAGAAAAATAATAATTTAAAAATAATAAATAAAAAATCCACAACTGCATTAAGTCGGTGGACAATGTTAAATGATTATAATAGATGGAAAAATTATGGAAAGGATTATGATAGCTAAAATATGTTGCCAATAAAAAGAGCCCTGGAATCACACCTTAGTTGGCAAAAATATTTACTGTTTTTCCCCATTATGATATTTTTATGGTAAAATATCTATTTGCTGAAAATTTTAATTTTTAGTTCTTATCATTATCAGTTACCCTTTTTGTTTCCCTGGAAAGAGAAAAGTTCAAATCAGTCAAAACAATAGACCCCTTCATGTCTACAAACTGTAAGTCAAATTATTAATCTGAGCTTCATTAAAAGTAAAAAGGATCAATCTCTATGCAAAATGTTAAAATCATAACACAAAGATGTTTCACGCAGATGACGAGTTCAGCTCTTCAGAATCAGGGTCAGTCAAAGCACACATTGAAAAGTTGGAGGATTTAATCTCAGCGCTCCTGTTTCCCAACGGTGGCTGAGATGACCCGATCCTCAGAGTTAATTCTCTAATCCAGAAATCTCTACCAATACTGACCATCAGCCATCAGGTGCTCATCTAACACTTGGACTTTCTTTTTATTATCAAGAAAAGTAATATCAAACACTTAGATACTAAAAATGTTAATCTTTGATTAAAATACAACACATCACAACACATTTCCCTTCTCATTCATGTTGTATGATTAAAAAATAAAAAAGCCAAAACTGATGTCAGACATCTTCAGGTGGGCGTCTTCATCTTTCTGTTGATGTTGGTCCCTTATACAGGCGACATTTTGTACGTGGTTCAATGGGTGGTCTGCAGAGCAACTGGTCCTCAACACATCAGGTGGACTACTGATGTGTTAATTATCCAATCAGAGGGGATTATTCTGCCCCTTTATTCTGATTTGTTTTGTTGAAGCTTTTCCTGGTTCCTTCCAGATGAGCTCAGATGAGCTCTGATCGCTTTCTTTTGATGACTTTGAGCCACACCTCCTCCTGCTGAAGGATGGAAGGATGGCTGAGAAGGTCCTCCATCAGGATCTCAAGGCACCTTGGTCCCTCTGTAGAGCCTTCTCTGACTAAGGGGAAAAAAGGTCTTGTAGGTCATTTTAATGTGTCACCAGTCAGTCCCAGTCTGGCCAGAGGTCAGTGGTCTGGCCCGTTCTGTGGAGGTACGGGTCGACCCGTCATGAGCTCATGGGGAGGAAAACTGGGAGTCAAAGTTACCAACATGCTGAATTAAAGAAGCTGAGGGAAGGACAGATCAGATGTTATCTTACCCTTTCACAAACAATAGTAGATCAAAATAAGTTAGCTTAAAGAACTTTAGATTAAAATTTGAACTTTAAACTTTGTCACAAATCATTGAATTATTCCATAATTTTAAACTTACCCAGTAAATGTACTTCCTTAGTGTTCGGTACCCTTATCACTTCTGCACCTGCAGAAATCCAAACAAACTTCTCCTCAGCAGAGGAGGGAGGGAGGACAGTGTGTGTCAGTGGGCTGCAGCAATGTAAACAAGGGGAGACACTGCAGCACAGCCTTCTGTTGCTTCCACCAGACATGATGTGTGTGTGGAAGAAGAATATAGGCTTTCCATCCAATTTAAAGAACGATGTTTCCAAGGCGAAGCAAAATCAAAGAACTAGAAACAAGAGTTTCATGAGGTGAAGAAACACCAAACCAGGGGTGCAAGAAGCTGAACCATCAACAAACATCACTAAAGCTGGTTTTTCCCAAACGCACATCAGACAGTCAGGCTGAGGTGTTCTAACTTCATCCAGCAGTCTAGCAGTCGTTTCTGTCCTCTGCTGCTAAGAATTACCTTAATAGATTGTTTTCCTTTATAAGGCCATTTTATTCCCATATTTATTTACTTCACTGGTTTAGTCCTAATTTAGTATTTTCTTTAGATGTTTATTTATTCTGCTCTCAATTACCAACCCAAATTCCACATGGACTGTTCCAGATGGTAAAATAAACAGCATCTATATGGATCCTTATGAGTTTAACTTTGCTGTTTTTCTCTTGTTTTATCTTCTTTCCACCCTTTTCTTCATCAGAACAAATAAAATATGTTCTGTTGAAGAAAAACCACAAAGTTTCAGTCAATTTAACCTCCAGATATATCTGAGCTATGGATTCATTGAGAATAGGTCATTTTAAAGTCTCCACCATTCATCTTAATGTAGGAATTAAATCCTGTTTTTATATCCTCTATCATTGTTATCATTATCATTAATGTTATCGTTATTATTATTATTAAATAATGTTATTATCATCATTATTTCCAATTGAGTCATTTGAACACCGTATAATTATTAACCAATAATTATGTTAAATAAATTTGCATATTTATTCCAGATCAGCTTAAGATAGATTTACTTCTTAAAGAATTGTAAATTATTTAAAAGCAAATTCAACCAGCCTAATTTATTTTTATACAAGTTATTTGTGCTACACACATATAGATTTATTTACCCTTAAAGTTTAATCTAAATCCTAAAGAATTAAGGTTAACAAATTAAACTTCGGCATTTAGCATTTAAATAATGACAGGTCCTTGATTATTTGAAGAAATGCCCAATTATTGTTAAACAAGCATAATCTGTTCATTTGATTTAATTTTTAAAATCTGTCTCATTAAACTTTATTTGTTGTGATATTTGAACCTTATGTCAATCCCCTTTATTACCAATTTAAACAGCTGTGCATTATCTTTAACACATTAAACTCCTGCTTTGTTTTGAAAACAGGTTAGGGGGAAGAATGAGCCACAGAAACTAGAAACTGTCCTTATTTTAAAGTTTAACCTTAATTATTCACTCATTTCTATTTTACCAAGACAAAAATAACTAAACTATAATTTCACAAATGGACAACATACAATAGTTAGAGTGGATCCACAACGACAGACAACATATAAGACAAACAGATAAGACAAACAAAACACAAACAAATGGCCATAACATAAATGATTAAACGTAATTGTTGCATGCAAACCTTCATGTGTGTCAGGCCCTTTTTTCACTTGGGGGGGGGATCCTTAGCCTGTTCATCTTTACCGAACCTCCTGTAACTGGGTCAACGGTAAAATGGACGGTTTCAGTCTATTTATACGCAGGTACTTTAACTCTAGTCAATAAACAGCGAACCAGTTACTATTCTGCTGTAAGCCAGACATTTATAACTTTATGTCAGGTGCTATTTCAGTACTAATTCTGAAAGTTAGGATGTTTTTTATTGTTTTTTATCATCCTTGATTTAAATCCATTAAGCAGGTTTTAGGCTTTATTTATTTTTAAACATACTTGTTTTAAATGAGCCAAAAAATTATTATTATTATTTTACTCTCTTCGGAAAATATGCCACTTTGATTCAAATCTTTCAGGAATTAATTATTTATTTTTGCAAATCTATAATTTTCGTTAATAAACTCATAGCTTTTATGTATTTTAGTTGCATTTTTCCAAACTACATCCCATATATTTGGTAAAACTGTAAGGTTTATTTATTTTAAACACTTAAGGGATGAAATTGCTGATTTCATTGTTTATATGTTTTAAATGATATACATGTGTATTAATATTTTTGGAGGAAAGGAAAATCTAATTATTTTAGTTTTCATTTAGTGAAATCTAATTCAGATTAAACTGACACATAACTTTAGATTTTATCCTATTGGATTATATTATTCATTCTTTTTCTCTATAAATTGCTGTATTGTTTACATTTTCATAAGTTAGACCAACAATCACCTTTTCTCTGTCTTAGTCAGAACCTCAGACAGTCATGGCACAGGGACAAAGCAACATACCACAAAATCATGAAGAGATGAAGCTAATCTCTCCGAGTGGCTGCTGGAAATAGAATA